CGGCCCCACTGCCTCATGCACTCCAGCTGCCCTGATCCTCCTCCAGCCCCCTGGTGCTGGAACTGTGCAGGGCTGTGCACATGTGCAAAGGGCTATTGCTGGAATGCAGTTCCCAAGGTTGCCTGAGACTGGTTTCTTCTCATTCAATTCTCAGAGGCATGTCTGAGGGCTCAGCTTAAAATACAGCACTTTTTTCAAAGAGATCTTTCCTAATCATGCTGACTAAAGTAACATGCCTTTCCTCCACCAACACCCCAACTCTCTAACATTAGCCTATTTGGGGTTTTCTTTAAACACATATGACTGTTTAATATAACCTCGTTTCTTTGCTGTTTATTTGTTCACTGTCTCCCCTACCAAAATGCACTCTTGAGACCAGGTGCCTCAGAGAGTGTCACTCACCAATGCATCTCTGGTGCCTAGCACTTTACAGGGGGATTAGAAAGATGAATATAAAGTATTCTTGTCCCCAGTGAGCTTACTGTCTGGGGGGGGGGGGGGGGGGGGGGAAGAAGCTTGCAGGTAAAGAATTATGTAGACTTTAGCATATAAATAAAGACCTGAACAAAGTGTCTTTGGCATTTGGAAGACAGAGCAACTAACTTCTCCTGGGGTTCACAGAAGGTTTCAAAGAGGGTGACTCCAAGAATGAAGAATGGATAGCAGCTCCTCAGTTGGGGGAGGGTAAAGGGACACGGGAGAGGGGCAACTTAGGCAGAAGGCAGAACTCAAAGGTGTGGAAGGATGAAAGAGCATCATGGAGTGTTTGGGAAGATGTAAATGGCCTGCCTTGGCATGAGACAGGGCTAGAAAGGTACAGTGGGGCAAGATCATCAGGGACCCCACTAGAGTCTACACTTTGTGCTACAGAGAAAACTTTTACGAATCCCCCAGAGGAGAGGCGGGGAAAGAGACAGCAGGTAGAGAAATAAGCCCTTATACCTCACCTCGGCCAGAGAGGCTCCATTTTTATTTAACACTGGGATTCTGAGTAAGCATTAATGCTTTGAAAAACCTTGAACCCCACACCTACACCTGAAGCTCAGGCCCGCTGACATAAAGTAATTAAATCACCTGTCCTGCCAACTCCAATCGCTTGTTACCATAATAGTCTCTGTCGTCCACTTTGTTATCTCCTTGGGCCAGAATCACTCTTCGCACCATCACTGCAGTGTAGATACATTTTGCTCGGAAATTGAATTCTTTAACCTGTAATTTAGGAGTTAGAGAAAATTTCTGAGACAATGCACATTAGCCACTATCAACTCCTTCCTTCCTTCCCCGTACATTTCATGCCATTCCCTCAAAGAGGTGGAGCCCACCACCCTCCCTGGGCTGGCCCATGGACTCGCAGTTACCACTTCCTTTCTCTGGGTCCTGAGGCACTGAGGCAGTCCAAGAGACTGTCTCTGTCTTTGCTGGAGACAGAGAGGCTGCCTGGAAAAGCAGTGGGGAGCCAGAGACACTCACTGTAGCTGTCCTGACTTTTAAATGGTCATCCAGAATTTTAAATTCTATTGAGACCTAGTTTTGATATTAAGAATTTTCTAATTCTTTGAATTAGTCGAAATACATACAAATGGCAGAATCAGAGATCTGTATATTATTTAGCCAACAAGGTGTTTTAAAATAAGAATATCCAATCTGAATGTATTTCGGTGGTCACTGTCCACTTCCACAGATCCCTTGACTTTCCTTTATGATCAGTTCCTGAAGGGAGAGTATGTAACCCTAGAATTAGATCATTTGTGAATAATACACATGAACAATACACTCACTATAAGCCAGACTACAGTATTTGGTAAGAATGTCTAATAAATAATTCTATCACTTAGAAAGGGTAACGTTATAGTAAATGGAGAGGAATGATTACTCCCTCATGGCCCACATCCCTCATGGCCAATCTCTGTTTAATGGTAAATTAATAAAAAGTAAATACAACTGGCCTTTAAACAACATAGGCATGTGGGGCATCGACTCCTTGCACAGTTGAAAATCCATGTACAAATTTTACCTCCCCAAAACTTAACTACTAATAGCCTACTGTTTACCAGAAGCCTTACTGATAACATAAACAGTCAACACATATTTTGATTGTTACATACTGTATTCTTACAATAAAATAAGAGGGGAAAAAATGTGACTAATAAAATCTTAAGGAAGAGAAAATATATTTATGGTACTGCACTGTACTTAGTGAAAGAAAAAAACAACATATAAGGGGACCCATGCAGTTTATTTTATTTTTTTATTTTATTTTAGATATATGAAATTTACTATCAAATTGGTTTCCACATAACACCCAGTGCTCATCCCAAAAGATGTGCTGTTCAATACCCATCACCCACCCTTCCCTCCCTCCCACCCCTCATCAGCCCTCAGTTTGTTCTCATTTTTTAAGAGTCTCTTATGCTTTGGCTCTCTCCCACTCTAACCTTTTTTTTTTTCCCTTCCCTTCCCCTCCCCCATGGGTTCCTGTTAAGTTTCTCAGGATCCACCTAAGAGTAAAAACATATGGTATCTGTCTTTCTCTGTAGACCCATACAGTTTAAACCCGTCTTATTCAAGGGTCAACTGCATTAAGCACAGGTTCCAAGGCCAAAAGATGGATTCTAGCTCTCTCTAACCAGCTGGGTGGCAAGACAAACCATCCAGCTTGTCTGGACTGGAGAATCTGTACTGTAAGTAAAGGTGGCTGGACAATGTGAACTCTAAATTCATGGTCTATGGGGCCCTGGCTGGCTCAATTAGTTAAGTGTCCAACTCTTGATTTCAGCTCGGGTCATGATCTCACGGTTCGTGAGTTTGAGCCCCATATCACTATTAGCGCAAAGCCTACTTGCATGCTCTCTCTCAAGATAAATAAACTTAAAATCAAATCAAATTAAATTAAATTCAAGGTCTAGGAGATAAACCATCTAGTATTTTAAAAAAGTATCTATGATGGTAATGGTAGCACAACGGTGAGAATGTACTTAATGCCACAGAACTGTATACTTAAAGATGGTAAATTTTGATATGTATTTTACAATAAAAAGAATAAGTGAGCAAGGCCCTATAAGCTTGCCTCATTTGAAAACATCTAATACCATCAGGGCTCCTGGGTGGCTCAGTTGGTCAAGCGTCCAACTTCAGCTCAGGTTATGATTTCATGGGTCGTAAGTTCAAGCCCCACATCAGGCTCTGTGCTGACAGCTCAGAGCCTGGAGCCTGCTTCGGATTCTGTGTCTCCTCCTCTGTTTGTCCCTTCCCCGTTCACATTCTGTCTCTCTCTCAAATATAAATAAAAATATATATATATGATATATATATATATATCATATATATATGTATCATATATATACACCCACACATATGTATGTGCATATACATGTATGAAATATACATATACGAAATATATGTGAAAATTAAAAAAAAAAACAAAACACCTAACACCATCTCTGCCCTTCAAAACCATGAAATCTAGTAGAAGCACTAATATAGGTATGAATATAAAAAACTGTAATTTTAGATCAAAAGAACCACAAGAGAGTAAACAGGATGATAATGATGGAATACAGCTAACATTCCCAAAGTACAAATAAACCACTGATAATGGGAGATTATTTCCACGGGGGCAGCCCAGTCCTTTTCAGAGTCTCTCTTTTCTTACAGAACCAGATTTTAATTAATGTAAACTTGTATTCAAAATTCCTCAACACAAGGACCCCACAATGACCACAGCTTAGACTTGTTCAGTGCTACTCACTGGGACGTGCGTCAGGATGGTAGAAGCCAGGAGTTCTCTTGCCTCCTCTATTTTGGTCTTCTTTGGTCCACCTCCCCACATCCTTTGCCTCCTTACTTTGTTCCCTATATATTTTAACGCCTATAAAAACAGAACATAATGATGTTTGAATGACACCACTAGAGGAAATTTATTAAACACCAACCCACACATAACACTATAAGCAAAAAGACAAGGATTCTGGTTATAGAGAATGCTGCATGAGGTTTAGTCAAAAATCAACATTTGTCATGGATCAATGACAAAAAGCATTATATGCTGTCCAATACACTGGTTCCCTTATTTTATAGTTTTCTTATTACAAAATTGATACATGATCACTGTAGGAAATTTAGAATATACAAATGAACAGATTATGCATATATACACACATGCATTACATATATGAAGCAGCCACCAATCCTCCTCCCAGAGAGAACCACTGTCCACAGTTAACATTCTGGAGCTGTGCCTCTTTTCCCTCAAAAAGGAAGCACATCGTGTTAAGACCTCTATCCTGAAAGCTACAAAGCATTGCTGGGAGAAAACAAAGCCTAAGTAAATGGAGGGTTATGTCATTTTCATGGACTAGGAAGGTTTAATAGTGTTAAGATGGCTTACTGTTACAATTCTCTCCAAACTGACCAAAAATCTATTGATTCTACAATTTACTTGGAAATGCAAAAGACCTAGAATAGCTAAAGGAAAGTTGGAAGATTTACATTACCTACTTTTGATTAGAAAGCTATGGTACTCAAGGCAGTGTGATACTGGCATAAGGACAAATAGATCAATGGAAGAAAATACATCCAGAAATAAACCCATGCTTTCATGGTCAGATGATTTTTGACAAAAGTACCAAAGCAATTCAATCCGCAAGGGAAAATCTTTTCCACAAATGGTGTTGAAACAATTAAGCAGCTACAAAGTAAAAAATTAACTCTGACCTCTACCTCACAACAAATAAAAAAATTATTAGTTTAAGTGGATTTTAGACATAAGCATAAATACTAGAACCATATTCTTGCCCTTGGAGTAAGAGAAATTTCTTTACACAGGACAGAAATCAATAACTGTAAGTCAAACCAAAAAAAAAAAAAGTTATGATACATAAATCTGTCAAGGGATTTATATCCAGAATGTTTTTTAAAGGACTTTTAAGTTCAATACTAAAAAGACAACTCAACGAGGAAAACGAGCAAAATATCTGGACATACTTCACCAAGAAAGTCAGTCAGTAAGTCCATGAAAAAGTGTTAAACATCAGTAGTCATCAGGGAAACACATATTAAAACCACAATGGTACAGACACCACTAAACGCCTAGTAGAATGGCTAAAATTAAAAGGACTGACAAGACCAAATGTTGGTGAGGACGCGGACCAATCAGAACTCTCACACAGGGGGGTGGGACTGCAAAATGGTACAACTGCTTGGGAAAAAGGTGTGGCAGTTCCAACTTTATAAAAAGTTATATTCACAATGGCTCTTTGATCCAACAATCCTATTTGTAGGTACATATCCAAGAGAAATGCTGAAGTGTCCAGGCAAAGGCTTGTACAGGAATGCATACAGCAGCTTTATTCATTCCGAGTGAAACAACCAAGTGCCCATCAACAGGAAAAAATAAACTGTGGTATATTCATACAATGGAATGCTATTCAGTAATAAAATGGAACTGCGTGGATAAATGACATAAAAGCAACTTGGATGAATATCAGCCAGTACGCTCAGCAAAAGAAACTGGCCACAGAAAAGTACATACTGCATAATTCCACCTATAAAGTTCTAGAACAGGCAAAATTAATCTGTGGTGAAAAATCAGAACAGTGGGGAAGAAAATCAGAGGACAGAGGTAAAAAGTAGCTAAGAAGGGGCATGAAGGAACTTTCCAGGGTAATGGAAAAATATTCTACATCTGATAAAAATTATGCACAATTGTGCAATTAAGACTTAGAATTTATGTATGCTGAAATGTACATATAAAAATGAAGTATTAAAAACTAATCAAATAACTGGTGAGGAGTAGGTAGACATTTACATGAAACAAGAATGTCAAAGCGTTTTGTAATTATCAAAGCTGTGTGGTGGGCACATGAGGATTCATAATACTAATCTGTATACTTTGTATGTGTTGAGGTTTTCCCATAATGAAAAGTTCTTCAAGAAGAAGATGATGTGGTTCTTATTATTCTGTAGCAACAAATGAACGCACTTTTTTGTTTGTTTGTTTTTTTAAATTGGCTTTCCGTTAGAAGAGAGGGCTAGGATTCCTGATTCTTTACCTTGAAATTCCTGTCCCCAGTTGAATGTCTGGGAAATTTCTTTTCTGTGCTTCAAAACTTAGCTCAGGTATCACTTCCTCTCTGAAGCCTTCCTAACCCCACTCCTTTTTCTCTACTTGAATTCCTTATGGATAAAAAACTAAGTGCTTTCTTTCCACTTCAGACCACACCGTAATTTGATTGTCTATTTATGGGTATGTCTCTCCAACTAGACGTTGTGTCATCTTTTTCTTTGATTCTCACTGACTGGTTCAGGGCCAGGAACTGAACAGAACTCCTCCGTGGTGAGATCGGGACATCAGACCCAGGATCTTCTCAGTTAAACATCCGTTAGAGCAGATGATAAACTAAGACTGTGCCAAGCCTTGCTGCAGGGACCTAGCAGCAAGTGGGGACCGAGTAACTAATGAAAGCAAGCCCACAGTCAGTGGGAACTGCCAAGAGACAGGCAGTTCAGTCTTCCCTAAACTAAGCTGTCCTCATTAAATTTTGGTCTTCCAGTTCCCTTGGGAAAGAGGCTAAAGATCCTTCACTTTGAGGGAAAAACAGAGGAACACAGGGGAGCCCAGTATCCCTTCTATATAGCAAAAGTCAGCTCTTCCTTAAAATAATTAATAATGTTGCCAAGGGTTCATAGTATGAGGGTTGGCGTAAGAGCCCAGTCTGGTCACGAACAGGCCAAGATGACACCCCCAAGTGCATCCTATCCTCCAAAAGGCTAATAATTTCTTCTCTCTATACCATAGCCCTTGACAAGGATGATAGAAAACGTCCGTGACCAAGGCCCAGCAAAAGGCTCTGTGGGCAGAAGGAATGGAGGAGAGACTGAGAAGGGAGGCATTAAACACAAACACAACGCAGGTGGTTTAGCAATCCACTAAGTGCCATGTTGTCAAAAGTTCTATTATAGAAGAATACACTGCAGATCTGCTCCATGTTCACTTAGAATAACAAATAGCCACACTGCCCGAACTCGTGTTCAACTTACCAACCATTTCGGAGTATGCATTTCTCTATAGCCTCTTATTAGCTGCGAAAAATTATTCAATGTTCTAATCCAGCACAAAGAGTACAAACCATGTCAACCTTACACCCCCTGTTTGTATATTCCCCTCACCTTTAACTGAACTTCTCTCATTCAGTTAGCTAACTTTCTGTCAGCACCTATTTAAAAAAAATAAATGATTTTGCAACCCACTATTTAGCCTTTTCACACAAGCCACACCATGGTGTTACAGGGTTATCTGAGCAACAATGATGCTATCTGTTATAAAATGAATATTCACAGATCTCACTGAATCCGCTGAACTACCATTAAGGTAAACTGCTCTTCCTCAGCATTTCGTAGCTTTGAAGGAGAGAGCGTGTCTCCCCACATTGAGCCAACTCCTGGCTGTTTCTTAACGTTTCCTCTTCATGTTCTTGGAACCCTTGTACAGTACAATTCCAGTTGGAAACAAAGATTCATGAACACTAAATATTTTGTTTTCAATAAAGACCACAGATAGAACCTCCTAGATCCAAACAACTTCTCCTGATGCCACCTGCCCAATAACTGGAGCTATTACTTAACTGCATAAAAAGAGGAAGGCAGTAAATCCCTACTGGTTTGTGCCTTGGGATTATATATACACTGACGTACAACGATCAACCTTCTTGAATGTTTTTCTGACTCTAAGAAAACATCAACACACACTAACAGATGTAAGTGGGAAAATGCTACCTCTACAAGCATCCTGGGTAACAAGGAAAAAGCAGCCTGGAATTTACACCTTGTTGAAAGTAACCCACAGAACAGACAATGTACGTATGGATACGTAAGAACAGTCTGCTGTGCTTCGATAGCAGGGAATCCCTGCCTCCCAGGGCTATGAGTAAGGCCACCACTTTACATGGAGCAAAGTACTTTACAAATGTGGGACTAAACATTCTAAATGTGGGCATCAGGGCTCCCTGTCACCAGGGCAGGAAGTACAATTCATTTTATTATGTTTAGCATATATATCTCCCTGTCTTCATCTTTGAGTGTTGTGTCCTAAAATCCCCAGGTTCCAACTAGGAATTCCTTAGCAGGTCGATGAAGGCTCTACAGAGCTCTACCCTGGTAAAGGGTTTCTGATCTTGAATTTTCTTGCTGATGACGCTGGGAATTCAGAAAAAGGGATTCAGACCACACTGGACACTGAAAGCAACTGGAAGTAGGGAATAAAAGGGAAATTGAGGAGAACTGAGGGAAAAAAAAGTCTTCTACACTGGAGTTGTTGTAGTTCAAAATCATAAATCATTTAGGCAAATAAATGAAAAAAGCACACTTGCTATTATATCAGAACAAAAGCCTCTTGGCCACATATCCCCCTTCCAAGTTAGACACCACAGGCTGATAATCTGTCAAGGCAAATTCCTTCTTCCAATTCCTAAAGTACAAGTCAAAGAAGCTTCTCTACTGGTCCTCCCCAACACCCTCCCACACCTACACCCCAAGAAGTGACTGCATCCGATGCTTTATCCATGGGCAGCATTAAATTTCCAATTCCCTTTCATAGCAAAGGACGACATGAAAAGACACACCTGCATCTGTGTGAAAATCTGAGCTTTCTGGCACTCTTCCAGACTGGGCCCAAATGCAGCCATCACGTGCTCCTCTGTTCCAATCATCTGTACAATTTCCTGGTCACTCTCCACACCCATGGCCTAGGAAGGAAAGAAAAGATAGAAAGAGTGTTGGCTTTGTGTTAACTCACTGACATTTGCTTATGCTAATTCGGCATTGTTTGTGGGTATTACTTCTAAGCAAAAGCTAGCTCTTTTCTCAGAAACGGTGCCATCTGGCATTGGCAGCCATAGCACAAGCTGCAGAAGAACCTGAAAACAGAAATTTTGATTCGGAAGACGAAAACAAACATTCTCAAGCACTTTTTGCATGTGTGTCATCTTCTAAAATGTTTAAATAGCCTAGGAGTTTCATCATGAAAAAAGGAGGTAGGAAGGTATAGTGGAAACACTGGTCACAATTACAAAAACAAACTGAAAACAAAAACAAATAACAAAAACCAAAAACCCCAAAACAGCCAAAGGGCACAAATCAGAAAATACACATCGCTGAAAACAAACAGAACCCCAATTAATTTTGTCACAAGACTAATTTTTCTGAGAACTGTCAAATCGTTCACATTTAGGCTAAAGGGATTTTTCTTAAAGGATGTTTTACCTCACTAGTCTGGAGATATCAAGCTATCCTTTACGCAAGTTTAAAAAGAGGTTTTTTAAAACACTAAAAACACACTCAAGAGGTTTAGGAAACCCGCTTCTCTTAAGTGTTTCAAGGTGGCAGCCGGCAGCACAGGTCTTTGTAGATTCCATATGGCACGAAGGCTCACTCCTTCACACACTTGCCTGGAATTCTGCCACATCAAGAAATAGAGCATAATCTCACTACACCTCTCTTGGCGGAGAAAGAATCTGCTTCTTAGAAGTTAGGGGAAAAGTTATGTTTGCATTAAAATTCTTCCTTTAGCTATGCAGAGAAAACAGAACCAGGAATAACTATCTAGTGAGGATTCGATGCTCTGGTTCCTAGTTCTCCACACACGAGGGAGAAAGGGAAAACTGAATCTCAAGTTCCAGTAAGGAACATCGAGAACACGCGCCGGAGTACAACAGAGACGGCACCTCTCTAGGTCAAGGGATCTCAGGTGTCCATCCTAAAGCAAGGTCAAAGACAGACCTCACAACCACTACCGTCCCGTCACCTTGTCCACCTCAGTTTTCTTCATTTCTGTAACAAGAAGATTCAAAATTCTACAGTCCTCTGTTTGAGTAATCTCTCATCCAGAAATTCCATCTGGATGCTTTAGGATCAGATGTCAACTTACTGAAAGTTCGAAGCTTTCAGGGGGCGGGGAGCTAAATATATGCTATGTCCCCCCTCTGAGGCAAACCGTAGCGGTTTAGAAAAGGTTCGCCAATTCTTTGACCCTCTCTACGAAAGGTAAAAAACTAATTCTCCTCTTCGAGTGTGGGCTAAACTTAATGACTCGCTTCTACAGAAAAAAAGGTGGAAGCCACAGAGTACAACTTCGGAGCCTGGTTAGAAACAGCACTGCAGCCTCTGGCTTGCTCTTTCTCTTAGAGTGTTCCTCTGGGGTGGGGGTGGGGGGGTGGGTAGAGAAGCTAGCCGCGGGTAGTGTCATGAAGACACCGGAGCCATCTATGGAAAGGTCTGATGTGGAGGAGCCACCATGAAGGCAGACCTTCCCACGCCCCAGCCCAGCCTTTGATGACTTCAGCCCTGGCTGACATCTTGACTCATGAAAGACCCTGAGCCCGAGCCACCCAGGCAAGCAACTGCCAAATCTCTGACGACAGAAACTATGCTGAATTTGCACAAAAACTAACAGACCAACTTTTGGCATTAGATTCACTACTGAAACTTACAAAAAAACCCTTTTTAAACATGTAACTTGTTTCATCCAAACATTTTTTTGTTTAGTGAACAATAAAGATGCTCTCAGGACACAAATCTCTTTTGTATACTTTGATTTTCATGTCCTTTTATCTCTAATTAAAATGATGCATTTGTTCACGTCGATGCTAGGCATAAACTCCACTGTTTAAAAATTACATAAATTCGTTAAGACACTCAGCACTTCATGGATTAAAGGAGAGCAATCCTCGAAAATGATCACTTCTAATTTTTAAACAAATGAAACAAAAACAAGACCCTAGATTATCCTTTGAACAAGCACTGAGTGCATGTGCTCTGACAGCTATGGCCCGTACGGACAGCTGTATACGTTTCCTCCTTGGTCTACAAGAAGCCAGCCAGAGATACCAGAAGAGACTATTTCTCTGTGAAAAGCTAATCAGAACATAAATTAACTTCCACTTGTCAATCTCAAAATAATATTATCGGGTTCTGGGGCACCCGGGTGGCTCAGTAGCCTGAGCATCAACTCTTGGTTTTGGCTCAGGTCATGATCTCACAGTTCAGGAGATCAAGCCTTGCATCAGGTTCCACACTGACAGCATGGAGTTTGCTTGGGATTGTCTCTCTCTCTCTCTCTCTCTCTCTCTCTCTCTCTGCTCCTCCCCTGTGCTCACACGTGCACGCTCTCTCTAAAATAAATAAATAAAACAATTTTTAAAAAAAGAATGTTATGTGGATGTCAATGGAATAAAAATATAAGAAAAACAATACTAGGGCAACTAATTTGCAGTAGAATCCAATCACCCTTCTCTAAAATCTTTGATAATAAAACTTTGTAACTAATACACTACCCTCTCAGAGGAAAGTGCAAACACCAGAAGAGAGCTATATGGGCAGATGCTAAACCTAGTATGTCCAGATAATACAGCAGGACAAGGTCTCACTGGGACAGAAAAAGAATCTTGGAGCTGAACTGGCAGTAGCTTTCTGGATCCACCCACCCCCTTTCTTTAGGCATGTCAACATCTAAATCTTCTGAACTAAGGCCACCTGGATTATTTTAATAATTAATTTTTAGTTTAGAAATCTCCAAATGGGAGAGACTATATACTTCATCACCCATTTTGGTGTTTAATAATAATGAAAAAGTCCTTCCTCATTTGACATTATTATGAATTTTTGCTTCAAGTTGTCCCAAGGCTGAATCTAAGCGGTAATTTGATAACTGCATAAAATTTTCAAGTGTTCTAACATGATCTAAACAGACTGCTTAGGCCCTCCAAATATTTCTAAGCCATGAAGTGAAGATATGCCAAGCACATGGTAAATGACACCATATGTGCAGAAAGAATCATCAGTGGCAAAGCTTTGCTCTACAAGGACTAAACTCTTCCTATACTGGGTCTCTGAACCACAGGGTGATAAGTCAGGTCATCATCAAAAGCGCTCTAGCTCCAAAGACCAAACTGATTTTGTGACTGTTTAGCCTTGGGATGTCACAGCTACAAATAAATGGCATATTGCTATGGAAACGATAGCAAAATGCCCAACCATTTTGCTTCACAGACATAATTTAGATATCTGAAAACTAGCTTTTATATATGGAACTCTTTGTACTCCAGATATCTGAAATCATTTCACCTGATAAGTCAGAAATAAGTGCTACATAATGACCTTATGAACAATTAGCAGAGACAATACGTTTCAGCAGGTCACCCAGTCTGGCCATCAGCAATAAGATGAACAAAAGTAAGAGAATATGCTCTTTAAAAAGGGCATGAAATCTCCTTGGATGGCCGCGAAGTGTGACTACAAGTGTGACGTTTAAAGACAGACGCTAATGAGCAGAAGAGAAAAACCTGCCCACTGATGGGGATATGCTGAAATATATGATGTGAAAGATGGGAAGGGATTAAGTCCTTCAAATACCTAATATTCAGAAGTCTCTAATCTTTCTTTAGACAGAAATCAATCTATTATTACTCAAAGTGGTCTTAGCAGATAAAAGAACAGTAATAGCCCTCTTTCACTCTGCAGTTTTTTCTCTTCAAAGATCAACAATTTTAATGTAAGTTGGTTTCCAAGAAACAATGCCCAGCTCCCTTGAAATCTGATCTTTTCTGTAAAAACTTTCAGACTACAGATGCCATCACAGTGCAACTGCTGAATACTTGGGAATACAAAATGTAAAGGGGGAAAAGATTCATGGGCAGGAGAACCTTTGTAGTGATTCAAGTCCATAAATAAGGCTGATCTAGGTCTTAAAAGCTTTAGCCATCATATTCAGACCCAGCATGAAACCTGGAAACCCTGCTGCTTCTGTCACTTTTAGCCAATTGTTGGTTACAATCAACAACCATCAAGTCCTAATGACTGTCAAGGTCTGTGTTAGGGCCACACAACACAAAAAGAGAAATGATGGACTTTCCTGGTCGCCCAGTTTATTTTGCTCCTGCATAAGGAGAGCGAAGGCAAGAGAAACAGTATCTTCTTTCTAGGCCATCCACTTTTCAAAATATGCGTGATTTCCTTTGCTCTTCACAACAACCCTCTCAGGTGAAATTTTCACTTTATAGGGGAGTTATCCAAGATTCAGGGAGACTGGGAAATCTGTCTGGAGGTCACACAGCTAACAAGTGGAGAAGTGGGAATTAGGCCTATGTCTGTCTGGTGCTAAGCTCTCCCAAATCCCGTGCTGCTCCCCAGATGGAAAAGTCTTAGAAGTTATCAAACAAGGTTCCATCAGGCTTTTAAAACATCCCTCTAGCGGGAGACCACAAAATGTGACTACCTGTGACCAATGTATTTAGTTTATTCAAACAGAAAAATTTTAATTGGTTGTTTCAATTCTTACACATGGCTGATTAGAATATAAGGTTACATTTCAGGAAGAAAGTTTGGCAACATGCACCGAGTTTTTTAAAAACACATATAATTTCATTCCCAGGAGTTCAGTCTCACAAAATATTCAGCAACATGCACAAACACGTATGTGGAAGAATACTCAGGGCTGTGCATAAGATGGAAAACTTGGAAAAAATGGCACCTGAATGCTGTCCTACAAGAAACTGGTTAAATAGATTATACCACCCACACTTCTGTACAATGCCTACCAGAAATAATGATGTAGCTCTGTATTTACAGATACAGAAAATTCACTGGTAAGTGAAGCAGAAAAAATAAAATAAAACCCATGTATATATTACAAAAGCAAAGGAAAAAGGGTCTGAAAAAAAGTGTAGCTAGAAATGGAATTCTGCTTCTCAGTGGCTTTCTAAATTTGTACAATTCAAGAACTGTTGTATAATCTCAACTACACATTACCTAAAAATGCATATTGTTAACTTATAGGCCCATTTTAAAAAGGATTTAAGTTGGCTCTAAATACACATACACATTTGCAACATAATAAACAAATTTGAAAGAAATGGTCTTATCAAAATTTTGTTACCTAGCCAAAAAAGCATTTAATAAAGGTTTTCTGATTTTAATGTGTCCATGTGTCTAGTGATGTATTTTCCATGTGAATGACAGAAGACTATGAGCATTAGAATTAATTTGTAATTTCTGGTCTAAGGAATGCAGTCCTATGCATCTTTAAGCCTCTAAAACATCCATAAAAGTCCTTTGATGCATAGGAACACACTGCCCTCTGCTGGAGATGTAATTCTACACAGTCAGATGAAATTCTCTTTACCCACTAACCACCGCTATGGACACAAGACACTGCAGGGTACTAGGGGATCCTTACGAGAAATGCCAAAATTACTTCCATGCTTTAAAAATATAAACCTTGAAGAAGTATAATGAAAAGCACATTTAAGACTTCTCTTTGCACCCCCCCCAATATAATGGTACTGCTACTGTGATCATCATCGTCAATCATCACTGTCCTAAAAGGAAAATAAATGCCAGCATCTCAGAGAACTTATAAGCACATTAAGTTGCACTAAACATTAAAAAAATCTCCTACAGTCCTCTCCATGTAATTGCATTCAGAATGCAGTTATTTCCTGAGTTAGAGAACCCAGCTGATCAATACCCAGGAACAGCCCGGGGCATCCCTCCCAGCGACCAACTAGAGCCTGACAGGAAGGGGCCCGTCTCCCCGCCTCCTGGGCCCTGGCAGGGTCACAAGTCCAACAAGACAAGTTCAAGTCCTTCTCTCTTACTCCTCTGAGGTGTATACCCAAATGCTTTTTTCCTTTTTAACCAGCTTAGTTACCTCCATCTCAGAGGCTCTCTATTTTCTCCCCTTGCAGCCCCCAAAAGGTTTCAGATATCGTTAACAACTGCTGAGCAGGAACATTTAACTCCAAAGTGAGTTAACTCTAAATGAGAAACAAGTGTTATCAACCCCTAAAATCACCCCACGTCCCCACTCTCAAGATCTCTTCAGTACTGACTCAAACTGAACTCTTCATTTCGATCAGCCCTAGTCAGGACTCACTTTTGGCCCATACACAGTTGGGCACGGGTCTCCTCGGCTGCTGTGCTCTCCGGAGGCACTGCAAACCCTGAATGAGAGAACACTGAAGCACTGCACCAATGGGAAATGCACTTGTGTCCTGCGGGCCTCTGGTTAGGTTTTCCTCCACCCATCAATACAGAACCTTGTTTGACATGGCTTTCTCCTTAAGGACACCTTATTCAATGTATGTTGTTGACTCATTAGCACTGAACTCACAGCCAACAGCACTTAACTCATGCCTGAACGCAGCTTATCTGACACATGTGTTTTCTCCATAAGGCACATCATGGCCTTCTTGTGCTTTGAAAAGATAGACATCACTTCAGCCCCTGGCTTGGGGGCCACTTTAAACAGCAAAATCCCCCCTCCCCCAAAAACACAAAAATGTGAAACAACATGGCACTAAAGAGACCATGGTAAGGGCTCCTGTTTACAGCTTGAGAGTGGAAACAAGAAGGCAGAATGTCACCTTCTTCAACCTCAGCTGGGAACATAGAGCTTGGGGACTCAAATTTGTCACTGCTCTGAGCCTGTGCATGTCTGTGAATAACTGTAAAACCACCACCAGTGATGATTTCAGGGTCACAAATAAATTTCAGCACGTATAACTGACAAGTGCAAAATTCACAAATGCTGAGGGTCAACCGTATAACATGATGGTATTTTTAAATTTCGCTTGGTGACTAATACTACAAGTGTTCATAAAATGTGGGGAACATTTAGGTCCCAGAGCAGGTTAAACGGGCTGCTGTGCGGTCACAAGTATATACCATTTAAACATAATTTCTGTGTGAAAATATCTTTTGGATTCTATGTCACCAGTTCATAAACAAGCTGAAAAAAATCAATTTTAAAATTCATATTTATGTAGAAACACACCAGACTCCCGAGTCCACAAAAAAACAAACTTGGGGGGCGCCTGGGTGGCTCAGTTGGTTAAATGTCTGACTTCGGTTCAGGTTGTGATCTCACGGTTTGTGGGTTCCAGCCCCACCATCCAACTCTTTGCTGTCAGTGAGAAGTGGAGCCGGCTTCAGATCCTCTGTTCCCTTTCCCTCTCTCTCTGCCTTTCCCACATGCACATTCTTTCTCTCTCAAAAATAAACACTAAAAACAAAAAACAAAAAAAACTTAAACTCTTTGACCTAGAAAAGTCTACTGCTAGGAATTCAGCCTACAGATACCCCTGCCCCTGTATAACGTGATACTACAGCATTTCTATAACAGCAAGAGATGTGTGTATCCACCGAAGGAGGGATGATTAAACTGTGGTACAGCCATAATAGAATAGTTTGTCAAACAGAATGTGGTAGCTCTGTACCAACTAATAACACAATCTCCAAGACAGAAGTTACAAAAAAGAAAACAAGCTAAATGAAAAATGGTGTGCAATGTATGCAAGTAAAAAACAGAACAAAACTCTACCATGTACTCATGTGCTAGCACAGGCATAGACTGTCTTTAGAAAGATGCACAAGAAACCAGTAACAGTGGTGTACCTGGGTAGAACAACTAGGTGGTTAGGTATGGGTGGGTGGAAGGTTTACTTCTCACTTTACACCCTTAAAATTTTTAATTGTGTAGCTACTAAAAAATAGTATTTTTTAATATCTGAATCCTGATCTTAGTAGCTTTCAATTTAAAATATATTACATACCTGACAATTTATCTATGCCACAAATCTTTCTATTCCTAGAACTCTTTATCCTCCAAATTTCTAATTACGTATGAAAACAAACCAGAGAAAGACTCCTTACAATTTCCAGTAGGTACCTGCAGCCTTACCTTAAATATGATTACAATGGGAATATCCTCTGACAAAGTATTGTGCCGCAAATAAAATCGACCTTGCTTTACAGCCATATTGGTTCTGCTTTTTTTCTCATGGGTAGAGCTACAGGGAAACAAAAGTTGGTTAAACTGTGTCCCTGCCTGGTTTCAAGCTAGTCGCGTGCAACAGCAATGATCAATAAGGTTCACCAATCAATAACCATCTGTAAGGTCCTTCCTAACAGATGCCTTTTAACAATGCACAACTCGCCACTTCCATGAATATTTAAAATCTACTACGATGTTTCTTTAGCTTTGAGATTATGGTGAAAGTGTTGTGGGTCAACGAGTGACACTCACCAATTCATTCTGATTTACTTCACTTTGATTCCACCTGAATTGCTTTGATTCAGTGTGGGGTACATTCATGAGCAATTTTATACATTTCCAAAGATAAACCTCAAAATGAGCCCCTATGTACTAGGAGTGTTTAAATCAACAATTCAATAAAATATATTTACACTCTTATTATATACATTGAAGCCAAAAGAAGCTAAGAAATCCCTTTTTATTGGTATCTCTATTAACTACAAAATTACAAATGGATCTAAAAACATTTCTGGCACACCTGGGTGGCTCAGTCGGTTAAGCATCCGACTCTTGGTTTCGGCTCAGGTCATGATCTCATGGTTCATGGGTTTGAGCCCTGTGCTAGGTTCTGTGCTGTCCTTCACTCACTCACATGCATGCATGTGCTCTCTCTCTCAAAGAAAATAAACTTAAGAACAATTAAAAAAAAATTTTTTAAAAACCCAAACCAGGGACGCCTGGGTGGCTCAGTCGACGTTAAGCGTCCGACTTCAGCTTAGATCATGATCTTGCAGTTTGCAGGCTTGAGCCCCACACTGGGCTCTGTGCTGACAGCTTGGAGCCTAGAGCCTGCTTCAGCTTTTGTGTCTCCCTCTCCCTCTGCCTCTCCCAGCTTGCACTCTCTCTCTCTCTCAAAAATAAACATTAAAAAAACCAATAACAGCTCCAAGCTTAATAGTCACAATAGTAACTCCTACTGATCACCTGCTACATACATGTGATGCTACATACCCACCCCACTTATACTGGCTCTCATGTCCTACATACTAATACTTACTTTGAAGTAGTGTCTCCAAATCACGTATGAGGAAACAAAGGCTTAGAGAAGATATGTAACCCACCCAAGTGCCTCATAGCTACTGAACAACTTTGGGATTCAAATCCCAAATCCCTGGTTCCAAAAAGTAGTAAAATAGAAAGACATGGGTTGCAGAATTATTAGATCTGGGTTCAAATGCTGGCTACCTCTTCTGATCAGTAGGACCCTGAGCCCAAGGCCTGTTACTCAGCAGTAAAATGGAGATAAGCTCACTTATCTTGGAGGGCTGAGGGGACAAATAATGTAGAGCACCATTACTCTGCCTGGCTCCTACTGACTGCTCAATAAACGGCCACTATTGTTAGCTGCCTCTCCATCAGAAAGGGGCACAAAGTCTGAGTTAAGCAATTCATTACAGGTCATCAGAAGACAAACTATTGTATATGGACATCATAACTATGCTACGATATTTTTTATTCCCAAAACTCATTAATTTGCAAATTTCAAGTTACCAGTGACAATAAATTAGTGAAAAGAAATTACAGGACACAAGAGATGCTGCTGTAGGAAAAGGAGTATGCTGTGAAAGAGGCTGGTTAAGAACACTAACACTAAGATGCTAAGTCCATGACAGAATCCAAAAAACATTAAATATAAAGTAATCTCTGATTGTATTCCATGTAGGAATACACATGTAGAATGATCAAAGAGTAAAAACAACATGGAAAACTGAAGAGTGGTTTTATATTTCTTTTTTCAAAGTTCCTTTAATGCAACAAAATTCAACTTGAATAAAATAACTAGTGGCCTTTCGACCAAGGTCTCACACACTTTTCACTGCTAAAAATTTTAAATCAATGCTCCATGCTTACAGCCTCACACAATAAACTGAACAGTTAGATAAGTATTTTGCTGCCTGTTACCAGACATAACTGGCTACCTCTGTCCTGAAAGACAATCATCTGATGTTAAGAAATACTGATAATTCCGTTAATACCATCCCTGCTTTCCGTACCTGGTAACTGAAGCACCAACAGCCCCTTTCCTGTCAGCCTCCACAATGATCCTGTTCTTAGATAGCTGCTCTTGGATTAGAATCACTTTTTCTACTCCTTTAACGATGAAGTAGCCACCTGCCAAAAGGAAACAAGAAAAGTTTCACCACCTGTTCTTCTGACAGTGTGATTTAGTAACGACTGTGACCTTCTGCTCCATGGCACTGACCAACACTCAATTAGAAGGCGTTTGCTGATACCGTTTTATGAACTAATGACCAAATCAGCAAATGATTTTATAAAAATGCGCTACAAGAAAATAAACTTGAAGACAGGGAACAGATCTTACTGGCATACGTATTATCAGCATCTGACAGACACAAGAGGTGAATGAAAAAAATGTGTTAGTCTTCAGATTTCTTAAGCACAGAAATAAGCAACAATCTTCAATATAAATTCAAAATTGCCCTAACTTTTCTAACAAATCAGTGACAACAGTAGACTAAGATTATGTTTCCTAAAATTTCTATACTCAGTAAAACCCATAAAACATTATCATAGCTTTTTTTGCATACAATTCAGAATAAAATAAAGTGAACTTCATTTTAATTTCAGAATATAAACAAAAAAAGCAATATATTGACTTATGTACCATTTTGTTATAGTCTAGGAAAGTCATGTTCTTTGTTAACCTCTTTCAAAATCTTCTGTGATTCTACACCAGTGTAACTTTAAAGGAATAAAGCAACTACAAATTAAATCAACGTGAATTAAGAAATTAAATGTTTTTCTGTTAAGTGCTAAGCTTGAAACTTTACAAAATAAACTGCCTAGAAATGAGTACAAACATATAATTTTTTTAAATTTTAACAAAAGACTTTTGGTTTTTGCCCCTTTATTGCATTTAAAATAGGCTGAAGTGAACTTTTTTCCACCTAGCTAAACAAGTAACTTCATAAGATTATTCTTGAATTTCTACGCATACCAAAAGAAACCATGGGGCAGAGACAAAAGTCTGACAAACCGTAACAATAAAACACATGTTGGAGTGTTAAAGTTTCAAACCTGCAATCAAAGAGGAAACAGTACTCCTTTTAGAAATGTTGACCTCAGAATAAAGTTGGGGCCAAATTTCCAGACGTTCTGTGAACACAGTTTCGTCCAAGTTCAGGTGGGTATTGTTTTTGAGAAAAAATGTTAAAGCCAACAGCAAAAGCAAGCCCAAAAAAGGGTGGGAGAGCAGGAGCCAATCCAAGGAATCACACATACCTGGATCTAAAGGACATTCATTCAGTTTGGCAAATTCTGCTGGCGTCTTCCCTGTAAGAACACAGTTTGAACTACGCAGCATTATGGGCATTCTGTTGAAAGTAAAAGAAAGTATCACATAAAGACTGTCACTGGCAAAATGTCACCAACGGGTCTGCTTTCGTCTTTCACATTTTAGAAAAGGCAGAGGAGGGGCAGTTACATCAAGAGCCAAGTGAAACGAAGTATTTCCTCAGATAATTGCTCTTCTAGTTCAGATAACAAAATCTCCAATGTTGGCTTTCCTTAAACTTTGCAGACAGACTTTGGTCTTCAGAAATGTCAGCAACTCTTCACTCATGGTCAACAAAGGGACCCTCATTTGTTACGCAGAAATACCACAATGAATCAAAGTAAGAAACGAGAGACTATCAGGGCTTACCAGGCAATCTTAAGAAAGAACTAAACACGACTTCTACATGAAAAATATTAATTCAAAAATCTATGAATAGGCTGAATAATAGATCTGCCACTGCTGCAGACAGAATTATTGAATTAAAAGAGAGCTGAAGAAATTATTGTGAACATATTTCAGAAAGACAGAGGGAAGAAATGTATCACAGAGCATAAGAGGGAAGGACAGAGTGAAGAGGTCTCACAGGCATCTAATCAGATTCTAGATGGAGAAAACACACACAATGGGCAAGATGTCCTATTCAAAGAGAGCATAGTGGCTATGGACTTTCAAAAATGTATGAAAGCCATAAACTCACACAATCCTATCTACTCAGAATACATAAAAGGAAAGCCACATCAAAACACACAGCAGTCAAGATACAATCATCAAAGACAAAGATTTAAAAGCCAGAGAGAAGAAAAGGCCGCTTGCCAACAAGGGAAGATGACTGGTCAGATAGCTGCACACCTGCAATTTACAGAGGACAGCGGAGGGGCATGTGCAAAGTGTCGAAAGTCCCCATCAAGCTAATTTGTGCGTTCTGTGAAGTCACCATTCAGAAAGAGGTCCACTTAAGGATATTTTCAGGCTAAAACAGAGAAATTCAGAATTTGTAATAAATAGTGTCTAAAGCTGACGTACCAAGAAATAAAGGTATAAACACAGCGTTTAAAGATCTGGCTGGGATGACCACCAGAATAAGAGAAATGGTCACGAGGTTGGGAATGAGACTGGGGGAGGAGGAATGGGGGGGTTGCTTTGTGGCAAATGTTCTCATGTGCTATTTGATGTACTTGGATTAAATGGAAATCTTTTTAGCTCAAACAAACCCCACACAACACTTACACAAGGTAATGTCTGTAATGCAGACAGTGCATGGAACATATGAGCACTCTAATTCACAAAGGTCACTTTAAGGAATGCAAAAAATGCTATCTTCTACCCCGGAGTCCAGCACATGGCAGGTGTCCACCAAACACTAGTTACATGCATGCCCTTCCTTGCCTCCTCTTAACTGTGATTTAAATCCTAAATCGTACTAGTTATGCTTTGCTCCTGTCTCTCTAGTCTTCCCTTCACCATATTCAATCTGGGTAATAATTTATTAATGATCCAAGATTTAACTGGACACACTATGGTCTGTATATGAGAAAGAGGAAAGGTCTTAACACTGATAAACAGTCCTGCTAAAACAAAGATTAATATTCTAATATCCCAACTTATTTCCCTAACTGAAGAGTGAGGACAGAAGCAACACAAAGAGCCCCTTCCTTTAGGGCACTATGGGGGAAGGATTTGTTAAACCTGTGTGTTTCCATTACTCTGGACCTACCACAGCACATACCAAATGGTACCACAGCTATTCAAGCCTGCCTTCCTGGGCAGCTGGGAATGAAGACAGCCAATAGGAGTTGTATCTAAGTATCTTCTATTTACTGGACTACCCAGCAGAGTGTATCACAAGTGACCAACAAATGGTGCATATTCACTGAACCTGTGGATATTTATCATGCCTTTAGCACTTCTGAAGGGTGAAAAAAACACTTTGGCCAGGAAGGGTTTGCACGAAGTTTAAAGTCCGACACCATTATCAAATTCCCAATATTGTGGGTTTTGCCCATTTCTACAGATGAGTCAGTATATTTCCCTAGTTATAGGGAAATGCTATCTTATCTAATGGTTCCCTAACAGCCGGGTTCACTGAAATGCTATCTTATCTAATGGTTCTCTAACAGCCTGGATTTCAGAAGGAAATGAAAGCATTTTCCTTAGCTTTACAGAAAAGACCTCACAATTAAAAACAACAACGACCACAGCATTGCACTGGACACTGCTCGAGTGCTCTGCTTGGGCTGACTCACTGGATCCCCAGAAAAGACTCTCATGGAGCAGACACCATTTCCCGCATTTTTCACATGAGGAAATGGGGCAAAGGGAACTGTAGTACTTGCTCAAGGTCACCCCATAGGGCTAGAATGCAGGCAGTGTGGCTCTAACTCACATGTCATTTCTCACCTGCCAATGGGTAAGGCATTACGGATGATTCTTTGGCTGCCTCGGGTATATTCAATATCCACTGTGATGGGGGCAGAGTACGTCATGTCCCGCAGACGGCACTGAAAGAGAATCAGACAGTCAGTGCTCCTTCTCCCTGGAAATCAAAGAGTCCTGAAGCTTCCAAGAATTCCGTCTCTGGTAGCAGTATGGTCTATGCTGAACTGGGTCTGTTCCATGTGTTGCCTTAAGGGCACTGGGAGTGAGGAGCCTACCTTCTCCATGAGGAACGATGTTGGCCACTGATCTAGACATCCCCACAGCATCTCTGCCCTAACAGCCCAAAAATGGAATAAATCTGGTACTGACTTTCTTCTCACTATCTGATGCCATCATCAGTCTGCTCCCCATCTTTGAAGCAGTTAGACTGTTCCTTGACAACTGGGTCCATGGAAATTAATCAATGTAGTTACCAATGTGGTTAACAACAGTATGATACCTAAAGTATACACATACAGAAACTAACTGTATCACAAAATTCTTTTGTTTTTAAATTTTTTTTAGTATTTATTTATTTTTGAGAGAGAGAGACAGAGCTTGAGCGGGGGAGGGGCAGAGAGAGAGGGAGACACAGAATCTGAAGCATGCTCCAGGCTCTGAGCTGTCAGCACAGAGCCCAATGCAGGGCTCACACCCACGGACGGTGAGATCATGACCTGAGCCAAAGTCGGACACCCAACCAACTGAGCCACCCAGGCACCCCTGTTCACAAAATTCCTTAACAAGTGGTATCTTATAGCACAAATTGTTCATCACATCATATTACAATTTCTGAATCATTTGGGGAACTCTGGAGATTACTGGTGTGTGCCTTAGTTTGACAAGGTGATGACTCACTAAATGCCCTGACATGGCACACCCCACCAAATCTTCAGCCCTTCTCTGAGCCATGACCACATAGTCAGACACGGCACACTCCACCAAATCTTCAATGACTTCCCTGTTTTACTGATGGTGATCAGGTGGCTTGTACTCTCAAAAAGAGAATCTCTCTGAACGTCAACCATACAATTCATGGTACTGAATCCTCCCTCTGGCTTCAAGTGAACCAAAGACAGTTAGGTTTAAACTTTTTCTGCCTTTCTTTCCCAATGCCCGAGATCCAAAAATATTAGATGCCCTTATTACTGATGAGTATTTTATATTTAATTAGATTGAGCTGTCTCCTTCAGGCCACTCCAAAGGCGGTGTGGCCTAGAGGCTCAGAGTGTGCACCCTGCCGTCTATGCCCAAACACTGGCTGTACCACTTCAGTTCGGCACCTTGGTCTCCTCCTACGTACAATGGGAATGAGAATCATTTTAATTCCTAAGGATATAAATACATATTTTTAGAATAGTTCCTGGTACAGGCTACCTTACAGACAGAATCTCATTTTTATTAAAAATCTAACGTAACACCCATGATAAGTAAACATGTGTGTGTTTTAACAAACTCCTCTCCTTCAAATGGAAATGAAATTCAGCAGATGTGGTAAACACAGGGACCCTCTCCACAGGCCCCAAACTACTCCCGTGAGCTCCCTCTGCCGCCCTCAGCCTCTCTGTTATCACAGGACTGGGCTGTGCTGGGGGCTCTGCAGCAGCGCCCCCCCCACTCCTGCTGTGGGTGCCCTGGCTGCCCACCCACCTGCTCTCCGACTCTCCCCATCTCTCCAAGGATCAAAATCCCTCCAAGAATCTTCATGCCCTTTCTCTCTTACTGCAATAATGCCCGTATGTTTTCTCCAACATCAGGAAGAAAAATTATGACAACTGCAGCCTCAGGCTTCTCAAACTACTTCAAACTACTTTGCCTTCTCTCTTCTCAGACTCAGTGATGTAGTTCAGAAAAGGACGTGGAATTTGCTAATTGGCTGCCTAGTTCTAAAATAATTAGAAAACTCCAGCAAATCGAGAAGGAATGGGGAAGCGGGGAAAGCCATACTGGTGCACACATTTTCCAACATTCCAAACCTCAACACAACTTCACTTACTGTACCTATCTTACCCTTCCAGGCAGTCAAGTGTGCAAGCCCTGGTGTCTGTTTCAAGTATTTTGTTAGTTTACGCTCTCCACAAGTGTATGTGCTCCTTGAGGAAGGAGAGGGTCTCATATCTTTTGTGTATCTCTCAATGCTGAAGCACAAGACAAATGTTCAACTGACACTCGAAACTCGGGTGATTAAGCAACAAAATTTACCTGTGTGAAATATCTGGTTACTTGATCATACTTCCTGTTTAACAATGCTCAGACAACAACCCTAACTTTCTTACTTGTTTAATGAAGATTACTCTGCTACTTTCCCTAATTGCTTTACATTTTAGTTCTACATCAACACAAACTAGATAAATCTACAAAAATCATTTTCTTTCCTGAATCAATTCCCAATTATGGACACCAAGTAGAAGAATTTCAAGAAGAATGTAGAATGTGTTAAAAGCCAACAGACCTGTTCCACAACCCTTTGTCTGTAGCTCTGCTAAAATCCTGGTAATTAAATTTTCTTCCTACCCACCTAACTCTTCTAATGGTCTGTGAGCCCCTGTCCTTGGTCTCCTCTGCCTAACACAATGCTTGCTGACCCTCAAAAAATGTGCTCAGTCACCTGTACAGATGGACAGCACATGGTACCAGGCACAAGTGGCTGGCTGGGGCAGGGAACAAGTGCGGGCAGGGGGAAGGCTGCCCAAAAGCTTAGAATAGGACACGAACAGGAGACATACCTATATGACAGCACAGATTAACTAGGATTAAATGAAAAACTAAACACTGCAGAATTGTTTCCTAATATAGTATTATACAAGTGCTAATTTATTTTGGTTAGCTTTGTCTCATAAGAGATATTTCCCCCTATTTTAAAGTCATTTCAAGAACATATATTAAGGGCACAGACTCTGAGTTAAGGCAAACAAATTCAATCATGGTAAGGTAGATAATTACCTCATGGGGGGATACCGGTCTAGTTACATTGAAGCTTTCTTCAACATCAGGGAGCCCGACATAGATATTAAGATATCTGAAAAGCAAATTATTCCATTACCAGTTACAGCTTTTCAACGAACATATAAACAAGCTATTTTCCTCCCAAATGCAAAGATTACACTTTGACAAATACTTATCTTGCTAAGAACAGCAAATTAAAAATTATAATTGGGAGATCTTGAAGTGATAGTACGTACAGTTCTACAAAGGAAGGAAAATACTATCAGAGTATTTTTAAAGAAATTACTATAAATCTCTTTTTAAAAAATACTGGAAAGATAGCTCCCTAAAGATGGTTATTTAATGAAAAGAGCTATTATTCATATAAGAAAGAAGAGGTTGTAAGAGGAAAAAAGATACAGCTCTTCCTTGACTTACAATCAGGCTACAGCCCAATAAACCCAACATAAGTTGAAAAGATTGTTAAGTTGAAAATTCATTGGGGCGCCTGGGTGGCGCAGTCAGTTAAGCGTCCGACTTCAGCCAGGTCACGATCTCGCGGTCCGTGAGTTCGAGCCCCGCGTCAGGCTCTGGGCTGATGGCTCGGAGCCTGGAGCCTGTTTCCGATTCTGTGTCTCCCTCTCTCTCTGCCCCTCCCCCGTTCATGC